GGGGGGGGGGGGGGGGGGTTAAATTTGCAGTGCACTTGGTTCTTATGGTTCTGTCAAACAAGGCTATATCGCCGCGTCCACGAGGCTGAAGGACAAAAATGCAAGACTGACGGACACGATGCGAGAGTCAGCTAACGAACTGTTCATCTTTGACCTGAGAACGGTGACAGGACTCAGATTAACGTTTCATCTTTTAATGAAAGGATCAGAAGATTAGCTGTAATTTTTTTTTTCTTCTTTTTTTTCCTTTTTCTTCTTTGAGTGTCTGAAATACTTATATATCCCTGTGGACATATCGGTTAACAGATGGTCTTCAACCGTACTGGTTATAGGGTATGTAATCGAGCGAGAATCATCTTCGTGTCGCGTCACGTCACACTCTTGAATTAAATCTCAGACACGTAGAAAATATTTATTTACGAAGCAATGGATCTCACCCCTTTGGTCCCAATCCTAATCCATCCACTATATACAGTTCTTCGCCTTCTTAGATAGCCTGGAGACCAGCAACAACACCAGCCCAAGTCTCGCGAACAGTAGGCTGGATCTGGCTAGCGGGCAAGCTGAAGCCGTAGGTGCCCTTGTCGCGAAGCTCGATGGTGTAAGCGTACTTGGCCTTGGCAACACCCTGGACGTAGTCGATGCTGTCACCAGTGGTAGCATACAGAGCACGGCAAGAGTTACCAGTGGTGTAAGAAATACCAGACTGGCCACGGATACCGGTGTTGATCTTGGCAGCGACAGATGAGAGGGCAGTCTCCTCAGGAGCGACGACCTTGCAGTCATAGCCGTAAGCTGTGAAGATGTTAGTATAAAGATATATCACGTGAATGTGGTGGACTTACGCCAGAGGATGTACTGTCCGTAAGAGTGGAAGTCAACGTAGAAGGAAATTCCACGACCAGCAGCAAGAGAGTCGATCTGGCGGACGATGGCCTTGTTTTCAGGGCTGTCACCAGCGGCACGGCCCTTGAAGGTCTCGTCACAGGGGTTGGTGGAGGCACCGCCAGTAAGCTCCCACTTGTAGGGCCAGTTGCGGTTGACGTCGCGGCCGACACAAGAGTTTCCGGAGACGGTTTGACGGTTCTTGCGCCAGAGACGGTTGGTGGTCTGGGTGTAGACGAAGCCTAAAATAATCAATTAGATGGAGTTTGGATGAAAATTGGGTTTGGAACTGACCGTCGGGGTTGACAATAGGAGTGATGTAGAAGTCGTACTTGTCGACGATGGCCTTGACGGCAGAGTCGGAGGCGTACTTGGTCAAGAGCTGGTAGGCCATGTACTCGGCAGTCTACAATCGTTAGTGATCTGCAACATAATAGTGAAGTATCTCGTCTTACCATAGTGGCGATCCACTCACGAGCGTGGACGGTGCCGTGGAAGACGACAGCAGGCTTGGATCCCTTGCCTCCACTTCCCCAGATGTGGATACCAGTCAAAGCACGACCCTGGAAAGAGTTGCCAAGAGTGAAGACCTCAGATCGGCTGGGGTAGCTGGTCTGCAGGTCGGTGAGGAACTGAATGTGATCAGCGTAGGGGTGGTAAGCGGTGAACCAAGTCTCGCTAGGAGCTGTGAAGTGTTAGCTTCTCTTCATCTCTGTGATCCCAATTAATTTACTTACCAGCGTAGACAGTAGAGGTCTCCTCCTCAGCAAGGGCAGCACCAACGTCCTCAACCAAAACAGTCGCGTCAGAAGCAATCTTGGTAACCTTGTCAACATTCTCGGGAGAAACGACAATGTCGAGTTCTTCACCAGCACCAGGGTTCAGGATGGTAGCAGCGAGCTTGTTGATAGCCGCGAGATCCTCGTCAGAGCCCTTGGGGAGGGTGACACGCAGGCTCTTGAAGCCATTGTAGTCAACCTTCTTGGAGCTAGGAACAGCAGAGGCCAGAGCCAGAGGAACAAGGGCGAGAATGAGAGACTTCATCTTGACAACAGCGCACAAGTAGTTGAGAGAAGATTGGAAGTGCGGGGTTGAACAGCTGTGAATAATTGCGTATACCTTATTTTTATAGTTAATCTCACCCGCCGATATGACGATCGTCCAGATCATAAGACACGCTATCGAGAACTTCTGTCAATGATGCCATCTTGGCCTCGGTCGAAAAAGGTAGGTGAATTAATGTGATACCACCAAGCACGGAAGCACCCATATCTCCGCAAGGTACCTTTCCCAAACGGGCAGCTGGAATCCCTGTGCCATGGTTGCATTATCTTCGGCAGACCAAAGGTCCCCCCCCTCTAAGCGCCCATGTCCAACGAATGAGAACACAGAGTTGCACGGCTGTTGAGTCCACGAAAGGAAAGTGTCGTCGGCAAATGCTATATGCTTAATGGACTATGGGGAGCCAGGATCAATTGAGATAACACCTCCGCTTCGGTTATCGTGTTTTGAGGGTGCTGATTCGCGGCATATTATGTACCTTGATGACTAGGTCTTGCGATTGGTGTTGTGTTTTCTTGATGCGGATGGTGACGGGATGAGAAGGAGGATATCTGATAAGCTGAACACTTGATTCATTTCGTCATCTTTGAAGAGATTGAGTCAGCAATATTGGGTCTTTTGTTTGAATCTCGAACATTGAAGCTGCCATTCTTGGCATCTCGGCGATTGAGGCCGCCGTTGATAACGTGTTCCAGACTCTGTCGTGCAGATGCGCCCTGTGAGACTTTATGCTTCTAGAACACGTTTTGTTTATGTTTAACCAAGTCGAGAACAGCTTGCATGTGCTTTTCAGAACAACCCCGCATTCGAGAGACAACTTCACTATCTTCAAGAAGATGACAGGATGCTCTGGTAACAGATATTAATAATGGTAATATTATGGTAATCTCATCGCTAGTCTATAGATGCCTCTAAAAATGCAATGCTTGTGCGACAAAAACTTTTGATCCAGGCTGTTGAAATAATCATGATTGATGGTTCCGGGTTGAATTAAGACCACGATTCTAGCATACGCAAAACTTTAAGCGGCGTCCTTCTCAGACAGTTGTCCAGTAGGCTCTTCCGCAGACAAACGGCCAGACCACACATCGATGTCCTTAGCTCGATGGAGCTTGGTGCCGTACGCGATTTTCCAACCAATGATGGGAATAATGAAGATAGGAATGCCGATGTAAGAGGCGATGAAGTCGGCGGTGTTCCAGTTCCCCTTGAGGAAGACGGGGAAACCACAGACGAGCGTGATGATGACTGAGCCGATGCCACCGAACCAGGCGGTGTATGGCTGCCATGGTGCCTTCCAGGGAAGGGTGTCGCGGCTGATGCCTTGGACCTTGAGGGCACGATGGAAACGGATGTAGCAGAAGCAGAGGGTTGCCCATGCGATGAGACCTGCTACGGTGCTAAGGTTGAGAAGCCAGTCGAATGCCTGAGAGGCGCCACCAGAGCCGAGACTGAGATAGGCCAAGGGTCCGAAAAGCCAAGCAGTGATGACGGCGACGTAGGGAACGCCCTTCTTGGTTGTACGGGCGAAGAACTGGGGAAGCTGTTTGTCTGTGGTCATGGCGAGAATGATACGCGATCCAACCCAGCAGTAAGAGTTACCGGCGGACCAAGCAGATACCAGAATACAAGCGTTGACGATAGAGGGGAGAACCTTAATACCGGCGGCCTGGATGGCGATGACCCAAGGAGAGCTCTTAGCGTTTCCAGAGCCAGACACAAGGCCTTCGTTTCGGGGGTCGACGATCATGCCAATCAGGAAAGCACCGAGGATGTAGAAGAATCCGATACGGTAGGTGACGCGGTTCGCAGCCTTGGGGATTTCCTTGTGGGGGTTGATGGCTTCGGCAGCGGTGATGACAACAGTCTCAACACCGATGAAAGAGAACGAAGCGTTGACGAAAGCTGAGAGGAAACCGAGGAAATGGCCAGATGAACCAGTAATGCCGTTATAGTCAACCCAAGCACCGGGGTCGTTCCAGTATTTGAAGCCAATAGCGTCGCCCTTGGGACCTCCACCAGCGGTGATGACAATGGCGACAATGACGAGTCCGACGAAACAGAGAACTTTGATCGCACCAGTTGCGACTTCAGCTTCACCGAAGAAGCGAACATCCATCAAGTTGATCCAGAGGATGAGAACAAGACTGACGGTGATGACGACGGCGGGAGTGATGTCGGTCCAATAGCTGACCAAAACAGCGGATGCTGAACATTCTGCTGCGATGGAGATGGTATAACAATATCCGTATGAAATAGCAAGAGAGAATCCGACAGAAGGGTCAATGAAGCGACTCGCCCAGTGAGGAAAAGTACCAGCAGTAGGAAGCTATTCATGTCAGTCTTGGTCTCAAGACGAGGCTCATCAAACTCACCAGCGTTGCAAGCTCAGAAATACTCTGCATAACACTCCAAAGGACAGCACCAACAACGAAGTACGCCAGCAACAAACCCGCAGGTCCAGAAGTAGCATACGCCGAACCAGCACCAATAAACAATCCCGTTCCGATACCACTGCAAAGACCGATCCAGGTGATGTGGTACCCCTTCAAGCGTCGTTGCGTAGGTCCTTCGCCGCCGTTGCTCAGCACGGGCTTTTCATCGTCGCTGAGATGAGCGGCGTCCAGTGGAGGAGCGCTCTCGATAGCGTCGTCAAAATGTTCAGGCGCCATCTTCAATTCAAACCAATACAATAATCCAAAAGAAAGATAGCAAAGAATGTGCAAATAGTAACGTAATTGCAGACCCGCTGGTAGTGGCCTTTCTTTATAAAATGGAGGGATACGGGGAGGAATTGGAGAAATTGGAGAGTCCGATTGCGCAATTCGAAGTTTTCACTGCTAGCGTACGGTGTCCCCTAGAACTAGGAGGCGATGGGGAAGATTATGGGGCAAGTTGCGGGACTTTGGTTGAATCTAGTTTGGTGTGGGCAGTTTTGTTAGTGTAAGAGAAAACTCTATCTCCGCTGGTCGGGGGGGTCTAGACGGATGATGGCGAATCAATAGATCATTTTGCGATATTTTAATTTTTCAATTTTCAGGAGAGAGGAATATCGCTCCGACATTGATGAGGAGGTTGGCTATGCGGTGTTGAGAATGCGGTCAATATCCTGGCAGTCAACTCACCGGCTCGTGTAGTTGACCACTGAAGTTGGGGAACTGTTCGGTTCAGAGGGATCTAACCGGTTGGGACCTTGATAGATGGGGCCAGAACCCACATCACACCGGTCCGTGAACTGCCAAGCATTGCACCATATCAGGAATAAGTCAAAGGACATCTATCAGCCATGTAACCAAAGATCTCTTGTAGGGCTGAATTCCTTTCGACATGTGCTAGCGTATATATCTCACCATCAACATAGCCGTCTCTGCCACTGTATATTTTTGAGGCTGTTAATTGGACGCTCCTGTACAGTCTGGTCCTCAAGTCAACCTGTCTCGAACCCATCATCTCAATCAGCAATCGAGCTACTCCCGCTACTACTCCAGCTCCTTATGCTTGAATCATCACTGTCATCCCCATTATCAGGGTCAACAGCATTGGTCCACAAGCAAAGAAGATGACCAATTCCCGAGCCCTTCAACGATTCTGCATCTGGTGTCCAGGAACGAGAAAGTTTGAGTAAGTTGTCCACCTCCAGGAAGATATCTCTCCGGGCTTTCTGATGTTTCGCAAAAGCTACCCAATGAGGATTTGGGGAAAGTCTCTGAGGAAAGTCTCTGGGGAATGGGGGAACTACCGGGCCTGGGAGCGTGGGCGGCCAGACCTGTAACCTCAGAGTCATGCCGGGACGGCGGAGAGAACTCCAATTGCCGAGTGTAATAACCGTATTTCCTGCGGACAACTTGTAGTTGCCATTCACAATTGCTGAGCGATAAGGGATGGATCGAGCCATGTCAGGGAGACAACCCGTCAGCATCTGCGAACGAATTAGCAGGATAAAAAAGACCAGAGAGCAGAACGTACCATGTAGGTTAGACAACTGTTGTACGGCAAAGTGAACTTGGTCCCATGTGGATCAACAAGGTTAATCGGCTTCAACTGGCACCCAACCTTGAAGTAAAGCGTCAACGACGGCTCTGAGGTGTCAGGAAGCCAAGAGCGTATTCTATCCGGTGCGGTTGGTCTTGTAGCCCCCATGGCAACCAACGTCAACTCATGAGAACCATGCCGCTTCATCGAGAGGATGGCCTTGTTAAGCTCGGTACGAACAGCGAGGTCAAGAGAAGCGAGCTGATCGGCCAACACGGGAGGTCTGTTGAAGAGACTCCGAGTCGTAAGCTTTCGTAGGCTAGATACAAGGGCCCTCTCTTCAATTTCCATTTTGGTGATAGTTTTGTTAGGGTCGTTGATGTTGAAGATCCAAGCTTCGATGTCTTCCCCATCCCATTCGTCGCCACGTTCGCGACGTCTGAATACTGCCGAAAAGAAGCGACGGATGCGCTCGCCGTATGAAGGATCGGGATAGACAGTCATGTCTGAACATGTGGAGTAGCCATCATCCTCTTCGGGAACGGGGTTTACGACGATGTTGTGAGACGCTTCGGCTACTGGGGTTGGAGCCACCGCAGTGACAGAGCTATAAGGGACACTTAGCTCAAGTCGAATTGAGTGTGCCCAGATGGAAGACGTTACCTTGCGCTGCTTTTCACCTCTTCGGGAGGACTCTCGACCGGGGGAGATGACTCGATAGCCTTGAGCCAGCCTTCCCGCTTCGTCGTAAGATACTTATGATACGAAAGCCGACTTGAAGCAACATGATTCGCAGAAAGGCGCATGGAACTCTCCTTTTCGTAGTCACCTGGCGAGCGTTTGAAACTCCTACTCAATTGTTAGTCTTGTCAAACGGAAGGGTAGAACAACACACTTCAACTGGAATTCGGCAATTTCTCCCAGAAGGAGACGTAGAACAAGCTCGAATTTAGCATGTTTCAACTCTTGTTCACAATGGCTGAGACGACGCCCCAGCCATTCCCGGGAATTGTAGGACAGAGTGGGCTTGTTCTTGAGACAAGAGAACAAGTGGTCGACTTTCTCCTCCGTCATCTCACCAATGCCGTGATCCTCCTCCGAGTGCCTTGCCTTCTTTGTCATAAGGACGAGGATGCCTTCGTAGACGACCCTGCACGTGGCAGCAAGCGCGTTAATGTCGTTGATGCATCCCGATTTGAAGAGCGTAGTATCCTGTTGAGAGAGGCTTTGGAGAGTGGAAGATGTAGAGCTGATGACCGCGACGAGCTTGGGAAGGTCCAAATGAGCAGTTGATCTGGCTGCTTCGTTCATCAAGTCAAGAGCTGTTGCCAGCCTTGCACCCAGCTGGGCAGTTCCAGTGTGATCCAAGGACGCCATGTCTTGCACGATCATAAAGGATGAAGATCAACAGGAAATCAGATTAAGCTTAAATCAGGAACACGGGTTGTTTTTATGCTGACGGCTGGTTCGCAATAAGGCGTGCTGACTGCTTTTGAAGTCCCACCATTACCCCTCAATACCTGCAAGTTCAACCAGTAGGGAGGTTTTACTCGCACTTCTGCCTGGTGTGTCGCAGACAATACTTGTTTATCAGGTCATGCATGAAGCTATTGAGTAGCCATTGGCCGATGAGACTGGGAGTGTTGGACTGGACCAATTGTGGTGACCTTTGGGACGAAATATTGTCTCAGCGGTTGGTGTCACCTAAACTGAAAGGGTGACCTCGAAGGCCTCATTGTGTGTATCAGAGGTTTTGGCCCCCAAAAACATAGGAGACGAAATAACTTCATCACTTTATATTGACTTAGACCAGGACTCAGGTTGCTTTATTATGGTAGTCTATGGGTTCTTCTGTTACCCACATGTACGCTCATGCGACGTGGCGTTGTGAAAGGCCGTTACGTTGAGCCCGTGTGCCGCGGGCTGACCGAAGAGCTTGTGGAAGGCAAATGGGTTTGAAGAGAAGGACTCGAAAACTTAAGCTACATGCATAGTCATCTAAGCTATTCTTTGTTCTGATTATCCTAGAGGCTCCATGGTGTTGTTTTTGGTACTTGTACCACCGGCGCTTGATCTTACATCGTGATGCGACTATGTGGAAAGATTCTGGATGGCTCAGGAACGCTTCCCTTTGCAATGGTTCACTCTATACATTAAAACATACTAGGTGCAATGCTAGGTCGATTGCCATTTACAATCGACATACCTCTCACAAAGTCAAAAGAATTATGCACTGGCCTTACAGCCAACTATGAACGCATGAACACAGGATGGCGCTTGTCAGCTGTCTTGTTCCCTCGGAATACCCTCGATAAGGCCCATACACATCCGAAGCTCGTTTTTGTAAGCGCAGAACAGTTGACCTAGTAGAGATCGTTGCGGTTGTTATAATGATACTCCGTTTTGGATCGCCATGTTCGTGCTTGATACAGGAGCTTTGTGCGCAGAGTGAGCAACCAAAAACAGGAACAATCAGCCGAGATAAGGTAGTAACAAACAAGAATAAAGGAACTGATAAGATGAACGAGGATTTATTAAAAAGAACAGGCAATCGACATAACGTTTCATAGATCTCTACAGCTGTTTATATAAACTCATCGTCTTCTCAGTCCAGCTCTTATCACTTCACTCACCAACAACTCTCACACAGCATTCATACAACAATCAAACAAGCCTTTTATCTCAACTCTTTCATAACATCCACAAACAACACCAAGAAACGACTTTCAGCAAAGTCATCAAAATGTCTAACGATCAGACCAACGTTCAGCAAGGCACCAACCCTGATCGGGTCGGTCAGCAAATCTCTCTTCATCAGGCTGACGGTGATACCAGCACTTGGGTCACTATTAACGTTCAGAGCGGCGCACCCATCACAGTGAACGCCTTCACCACGGCCCCTATCACGATGAATACCTACGCCGGCACTGCTATCAAAATAAACGTCATCGATCCTCCTACTAGTGGCCAAGTTGTTAGTCTCCAGAACCGAGAAGCTTCGGACAATACGTCTGGGGAGGTTGAGGAAACAGACAATCTATTCGATCACACATTCCAGCACGTCCATTGGACTCCATCAGGCTATATCGATGACAAATTATCGGCGGTCGAATATGAAACAGCCGTTGAGTCACAACCTGTTGTCGAGAGCGACAACTCTGCTGACGCTGGGCCTTGCACACCAACCAGCGATGATGCTAAGGTGTCTGATTCTGACGAAGGAGAAGATGAGGATGACAATCGCTCTTCAACCGCAGAAATCGGCGAGTCTACTGAGGGCAATATCTCAGCCTATGGAAACCCTTTCCGTTTGGTTCCTCATCTGCGCCCCATTAGCAGATACCCACCCCTCCCCATCTCTACTGCTTTTATCAACGGCGCTATACACAAGTCGACACAGCGAAAGCCCGGTTTCCAAAGCATCTACCTCCGCGAGGAAAGTATTCCGTCAATTGGCTCCCGTCCTGCCTACACCTGGCATTCGCCCGACGCCTTCGGTCGAATCTATGTCCCAGATTGGCAATATGTCCTGGTCTGCATCGAAGAACATCTTCTCGTAACACTGTCTGGTATCGGAACAACGACCAGAGACTCTCATCGGGACGAGTTTCTGAAGGTCATTATCGACAATTCTATCGATGTTCAGCTGGACTTTACCCTGCTCGAGTCTGCTGGCTATCGAGTGCTTGCTTGGGCTAAGAAGCCTTCGCCGCGCGATGACATGTACTGGTTTGACATCCAAGGACGAGTTGTTCAGAATACTCCAGCTTGTGGCCACAACCACGCTGCTTTGATTTGTGGCTAAGCGATGGATGGTTTGAGACATGCATGATGATGAAGTCAGACGAGAAAAGCTAAATGCTGGTCACTAAGCGGATCTTTTCTACTGATCATTTCCGTGCAGGTTGGAGTGTGTATGCGATTGCGTAGACGGATCTAGAGAAAGAGGCTATCATGAAAGGAACGAGCAAAGGTGGAACTTTGCATAGGACTGACTGCCTACCGAAACTGGATATAGAGTACATGGTCCGCCATTGGAGGACCTCAATCTACACTCACTTAAACTAGTAATGGAATGAAGTGCATGTGACATGAAGTGTGAATGATAAAGTACAGTATAGTCTTCCATAAAAGATGGCTGATCTACAGATCAGTAATTTATCCAAGCTTTCAGCGATCATCATCAAATGTTTGCGGGGTAACGCGGGGTCTACTTCTGACTCAATAATCCACCAATAGAATACACAAACTCACCTTGTAACATCGTATATAGTAGGTCGGTCATAAGAACATGGAGGTCTGTTTGCGTGGACTTTCCCCGCACATCTTGTTGTTCTGATCCGGTGAACACCGGACCGATACGGGCCGAAACACCATTCATTATGGCTATCGACTTGACGATCCCGGTTAATACAGAAGGCCTATGTAACGTCACCGGTATTGGGAACTTGGCATACAGGAACAGACATGCGCGCGAATCCTGTTCTACTGATCGCTATTGCTAATTACCGTGTAGTGATACCGTGGTATCGAACCATGCTATGATCATGGCAACTGAATCGCAACGGCTACGTCACGGGAGGCTTTATGATGGCACCTCTCTGGTACCAACAAACGTGCATATACTCGTATTTATATGTCCGACGGTCCACCTGTTAGCTCAACTTCCTAGTCGCTACCGACTACATCGACCTGCCATCGCCGTTGCGAAATAGTCATGATGACCTTGTCGAACAAGGCTACGGCCCTTGTGGCCCTCGCCTGCGCTCTCTTTCCCCTCGACACAACAGCCCAAGCCAAAGGTCCTTACGAAGCAACATGGGAATCAACCGACAAACACCACGCCGCCCCAGAATGGTACCGCGATGCCAAATTCGGCGTCTACTGGCACTGGGGAGCCTTCACCACAGCGCAATACGCCAGTGAATGGTATCCACGCAACATGTACGAGCCTGACTCGGACCAGAAGAAGCACCATACAGAAACTTACGGACCCCCTGAAGAATGGGGTTACGAGAACTTTATCAAAGGTGCCAAGGATAAGAAGGGCAACTTTGTGCAGTTCAAGCCTGTTCTTAAATCTCAGGGTGGGGAATTCGATCCTGAGGCTATCATGAAGGTCGTTAAAGCTTCCGGTGCGAGATTTGCTGGACCTGTTGCTGAGCATCATGATGGGTACTCTATGTGGGATAGCAAGGTCAACGAGTGGAATTCGGTCAAGTATGGTCCCAAGCTGGATTTGGTCAAGCTTTGGGCGGATCTCGTACGCAAGAACGATATGAAACTTGTTGTTGCGATGCATCAGGCCTACAACTACAATGGCTTCTTCCAATGGGCGCCGAAGACAAACGACACAAGCCTGCAGAAGCTGCTAGGTCAGCTACCTCGCGAGGAGGAGGACCAGCTCTGGTTCGACAAGCACCGTGAAATGCTAGATCATGTCAAGCCTGACATTATCTGGAATGACTTCTCGCTCGACAGCCCTGGTGAATGCGGCAGTGCTGAGGGCCCCTGTGCGGTGGATGAGCAGAAACGCCTCGAGTTCCTCGCCTACTACTTCAACCGCGGCGAGGAATGGGGCAAGGAAGTAGTCACCACCTACAAGCACCACGACCATGGCTTCCGCAACACCTCAGCCGTAGATGACTGGGAACGCGGTGGCCCTGCCAACCTCGTCCGTCCATACTGGCAGACTGACGACGCTATCAGCGCTTCAAGCTGGAGTTACACCGTCGGTATCAAATATTACAGCTCGAAGGCCATGGTGCACTCTTTGATCGATCGTGTCAGCAAGAACGGTAATATGCTGTTGAATATCTCGCCCAAGGCTAATGGTGTTCTGCCTGAGGAGCAGATTGAGGTTTTGGAAGATATTGGTGCCTTCTTGGGTCGTTACGGTGAAGCTATTTATGATACCCGAGCTTGGGACCTTTACGGTGAGGGACCGAATCAAGTTGAAGGTGGTGCTTTTACTGCTCCTTTGCAGGGAAACAGCAGCGATATTCGCTTCACGCGTAACCAAGATGATGATGTTCTCTACGTTACTGTTCTTGGCTGGCCTGAAGATAAGCTTGTGTCTATCCAGGCTCTTGGCTCAGATACTCTAGTTGACCTCAAGTCTCTCAAGTCCATCGAGCTTCTCGGCAACAAGGCAGGCGATTACGTCAAGGTTCCAGATTGGGACCAAGGCAAGGATGCTTTGGAGATCACCCTCCCATCTCAACCTGCCGAGTCACTAGCCTACGTCCTCAAGATGACCTTTGACGGTGGAATCCCCGTGCCTCTGCCCAAAGGTGGTGCAGCGGTTTTCTCCGGTTCTGATGCAACGGGTACTGGTGTTTCTCTCGCGGCAGGCACTTTCGATACCGTGTTTTTAACTGAGGCTGGACTTGAGCCTAAGAAGATTGGTTCTATTCTTGTGGCGGAAGGTACCAAGGCTACTATCTTTACGGGGTTCAGATTTACTGGGGAGAGCACGGAGCTCAAGGCTGGTGAGCACAAGCTTGATGCGGGATCTGTTGGCTCCATTGTGATTGCGAAGGCTTGAGTTAGGTACATATTGTAACATATCTTTGTCTGTAATTGAAGTTCAGGGTTCCCATACACGTTTGATCTGTGATCGGACACACCGAATGTTGAAAGTAGCCGGACACAGGATTCCTATCTCGGTGATGCTGATGTACATACATACTGTCCAGCAAAAAAAGATCAATTGCTTCTACGGGCAAAAGAAAATACCAATCGACACAGGCCTGATTCGAACAGACGCCTCCGAAGAGAATAGATTTCTAGTCTATCGCATTAGACCACTCTGCCACTGTGCCTTAGCTGATTGGATGAAGGAAGACACCTGTATTCTCTTCTAACACTGGGAACTTGCGGGTAGTCAATTAGGCTTGAAGATTGATCCTCCATCTAAAAAAGTATTTAGACGATCGAGCTACGAATCAAGCTGTAGGTTTTCTGTTGGGAATTTTCCCAGCAGGTAAAACTCATATCTTTTGCAAACTGAACGTCCAAGGCCAATGAACAATTAGGTCCCCGCTCCGGGGGATTTCGTGCCGAACAGCTTCGAAGAGACATTTGTTCAAATGAACAAATGAGTATCGATAGGCTTTTCGATAAAAATAAAAAAAACATGCTACGAGGTGAATGCGAATGCTAAAGGCTTGGGACTATACACCGTCGTGTCGATCCCAATTCAAATCCTTCGCGATGTCTTTCGCTACAGGTTAGCCCAGCACCGGAGCTCGGGGTATCATCACCCGACCAATACTCCGATCACCATCACACGATTACCGATACTTGCAGAACCAATAAGAGACTCCCTCGCCAGGCAGAATCTGGGGTCTTGGCGTACAATAAAGAGATGTCATGATTCGGGAAGGTAGACAGTATCCTTGTCCATAGCCAAGCTTGATCTGAATACCGTCGCATTTCTCCACAAACCAAGGATTGGAATTCGCGGGGTCAGAAGCGGTCCAACCCATCACGTCAAACTTTACCATATAAAGCTCTTTGTCCATCATGTACTTCCTCATCCCTTCTACAGTATCTTCCCGTACCGCTAATCACGATGCGTCTCTACAGCATCATAACAAGCCTAATGGCAACCACATCCGCCCTCACTCTCAAATCCACCAAACACTGGACAATCGGCACCGACATCCAAGGTTCCGAACGTCTCAACGGCGTAAGCTATCAAGAAGACGCGCTCATCACATACGGCGACTACCAATATGTCACTTTCTACGAAACTGCCCCAGCAGGGTATCTCAACCATTTCGTGCGGTTAGGTAGAAGGAAGATCGCGCCCAGTGTCGCGGACTGGGAGTATCTCACTTTTGAGGACTATACGCAAAAGACTATGGATGGTCATAACATGATTTCCATGGGAATTTCGGGGGATGGGAAGATTCATCTCAGTTTTGATCACCATGTGAGTTGTGCGTCTGGGGGGAGGGCTTCGCTGACTCTAGAAGGATGTACCAATCAATTACCGTGTTTCGAAAGAGGGAATTGCGAAGGAAGTCCCTTCTAAGTGGTCTGCGGAGCTGTTTGGGCCGGTTGTTCATTCTCTGGACGGATCTGAGGGACCATACTCGCCTTTAACGTACCCTCGTTTCGAGCCTCTTCCCAACGGCGATATGCTTCTTGAGTTCCGCATTGGACAGTAAGTCACTGCTCCCTTCCTTCCCACACTCGTAGTTTTGACAAGTAATTGTAGATCTGGATCTGGAGATAGCTACATCCACCGCTACAGCTCTTCCACAGGCAAATGGACAGCCCAGGGCATGTACATCCAAGGCGACGATAACAATGCCTACATCAACGGACTAGACTACCTCGACGGAAAGCTTTACACATCCTGGACCGTTCGAGAAACGCCAGATGCTGATACTAACCACGGCGTCTACTTTGCGTACTCCAACGACGACGGGAAGACGTGGTTCAACACCAATGATACGAAGCTGAGCAAGCCTATCTCGACTTCTGACGAGAGCACTTTAGTGTGGGATATACCGCAGGATAGTCGTATGGTCAACCAGGAGGGACAGTATATCGATACAAAGGGACGTTTCCATGTCTTGATGAGGGATGTGTTGTCTGGGAAGCACCTTTACCAGCACTATCTCCGAGACACCAGTGGTAAGTCAGTCTAGCTTTTATTCTGAGTCCGCTCTAACATCTCCAGGAAAATGGACGAAGAACACCATCAATCCCGCCGGTCTCAACGGTCCTGACTTATACGATCCTCGAGGCAAGTTCGCTGGAGATGCGTCAGGCGAATACTTGTTCGGTCTTCTTCCGGACCCCGTGAAGCAGGCAACAGGAATTTACGTCGCCACAGCCTCCAAGGGCTTCAAGGACTGGACGGCGCTTGCTGAGATCCCCAACACTTCGACAGAGCCGTTGTTCGACAAGACACGGCTGCATGAGTTTGGTGTGCTGAGTGTGTTTGTGAGACAGGCTGGTGGATTCCCGGATAGAAAGCTCCAGGTCTGGGACTTTGAGCTGGACCTGTAGTTCTAGATCTTACAGTAGAGGCCCAACATATTGTATATCAGGGTTGTCGTTTAGAATAACAGGGTGTTCTTATCTATCCATGATCTTAGCGCTGTCCGCTGCCTGTGATCTTATGTCAGATAACTACCCCGCAATTAATCCACCCAAACACAGTCATACCCAACCTCATCCATATATCTAACTCGTGGAGTTTCCTCTCTCAAAATATTGCCCTTCACGCCAAATTTCATGTTATCAAAACTGCGATTCACCATGGATAAGATTGTTCAACAAGCGATCAAACATACAATGGATATGAGGAAGCCAGCGTCCTCAGTTCCATGGAAAGCTGACGAGATCTGGCAGCAGCCCTTCTACGGATGGAGTAGTGACACCAAGAGCTGGCAACCATCGCGCTCCACTCGAGAATCTCTCAAGACGAGGCTGGTGAAGAGGATAGCCGTGTACAGTTGGAACATTGACTTCATGCTACCTCATGGTGAAGCTAGGATGGACGCAGCGCTGAAGCATCTAGAAGAGCTCACTCGCGAAGACCGGTCGGGCGAAACGGCTGTTGTGGTCAATTTGCAAGAATGTGTGCCGTCTGACTTACATATTATCGGCGAGAAGGAATGGATCAAAGAAGGGTTTTACAAAACTGACGTTGATACTTCGGCTTGGTCTTCGGGGGCATACGGTACAACCACGCTGGTAGACCGTCGACTGGATATCTCGTCGTGCTTCCGGGTGCACTATTCGGACACTCAAATGGAGCGCGATGCACTGTTCGTTGATATCTCGTCGAAAGGCGGTCCAACACTTCGCCTTTGCAACACTCACCTTGAATCTCTGGCCCTCGAACCGCCTATGCGCCCAGCACAAATGCGCGTCATCGCGCCACACATGCACGACAAAGACATTGCCGGCGCAATTGTCACAGGCGACTTCAATGCCATCCAGCCATTTGATAGAACCCTCCATACCGATAACGACCTCAAAGACGCGTATCTAGAGCTTGGCGGCGAAGAAGGCGACGGAAAAGGTGACGACACGAGAGGATACACGTGGGGTCAACAAGCCCTGCCCCAGCTCCGTCAACAATTCGGCTGTTCACGCATGGATAAGGTCTTTTTCTGCGGTGATGCCCTCACGCTTGTGAGTTTCGAAAGATTCGGTGCAGACATTGAACCCGATGAGGAGGAAGCGAGAAGGGAAATTGTTTCGATTGGATTTGAGAAGGCGTGGATCACTGACCATCTCGGTGTCAAAGCGTTATTCGAGGTCGTTATCTGAGACATGATTCGCTAGCGATACCCGGAATGGTGTGTTCCGACGGCACGGAAAGCGACGATCATGTCAATATATTGGTTCCTGCATCATTGAATCTTCCGCTGAATTTCAATCACAAGCTTGGATTCCTGTGGTGTAGTCAATGACGATCTGTCTCTGTTGTCGCGCTAAGAACACGGCTCATTGACCCACCATGAGTGGTGAGGAACACCTGAGGTATTCCTGACATTCTCCCTTCTGATTACCCGAGAATAGTAGACACGGAATAATTGTTCCGTTGGACAAAGGCAATCGAGAAATATAGCAAAAAAAGGAAACCCGTTCGTGGTGGTAGATCCTGTCAGCGCTTGGATGGGTAAGGTGAGGGACTTTAGCGAGGCTAATAAAGTCAGCGCTTGACCGCTTGTAACCTGACTATTTTAGAGCATTTCCAGGAACCACTCACAATCGCTGATGTACGAGATCAACCAAAAGTCCGTAGGATCGTTTATGAATCACCGACATGGTATTGAAACACAGCGGCCGATTGACCCCACCATTTGAAGATCTGATTTACTATAAAGATAACTTGGTGTCACCTTGTGCTGACTGAGAACAACCCTTCCCCCCTCTCAAGATTGCCCTGACCATGATACAGTCAGCCATAGACTTGGCATCGCGCCCAGCGATTGCCGCGCCATTAATCATATTCTTGTCATACGTCATATACCAACTCTTCCTCAAACCGTCAAACCTCCCAGATCTACCCATTGTCGGCGCCCGCGAAGGCGACTGGTTTCCTCTCCTGCAAGCCCGAATCCGAAATTCTCGCGATGTCAAGGCCGCGCTCAACTCGTCATACGTCCAGTATAAGGACCAAGCTACCATCCTTCCTCTACTTGACGCCGGCAATGTCATCTTACTACCGAAATCCGATACCAAGTTTGCGAGCGAGCAGCCTACCGATGAGCTGAGTATGCACGAAGCTGCCCAACAGGATTTGCAGACCGACTTCACTACCATTACGCCTGCTTTGACGCATGATCCTATTCATATCGACTTGGTTCTTACGAAACTCACCAAAGAGGTCGGAAATCTCATTCCGGACCTTGCAGAGGAACTCGAGCATTGTATCAGCAAGTACTGGGGCACCAGCACAGAATGGACCGAAATTCCCGTTTTCGAAAAGGCGCAGGAGATCACGAGTGGTGTTACGAACCGCGTATTCGTGGGATATCCTCTCTGTCGAAACGAGGAAATGTTGAAGCTGGGTATTGCTTTTGCGCAAGACATACCAGTTTCAGCCATGCTCGTCAAGCTTTTCCACAGGTTTCTCAAGCCGATTTTCGCACCGATCATAACCATTCCGAACAGAATTCACAACAACAAATTCGAAAAGATCCTCAAGCCAGAGATCAAGGCTCGTCTAGCGGAATATGACGCTCGAGCGAGCACAGGAGAGAAAGGCCTCAAGTCCGACCGCAATGACTTCCTGCAATGGTCCATCGAGCAAGCCAAGACTATCGGCGATCCGAAAAACTGGAAGATCAACGCTTTGTCGGAACGTATCTTGATCTTGAACTTTGCGTCTATTCATACCACCACTTTCGCCGTTACCCACGCCCTACTCGATATCGCTGCTGCATCGCCTGAGCTTATTCCTGAACTTCGAGAGGAGATTGAGGGTGTTCTTGAACAGCACGGCGGGCAATGGAGTAAACGTGCCGTTGCCCAAATGGAAAAGCTCGACTCGGCTATCCGAGAAAGCCAGCGCAAGAACTCACTCGTCACCGTCGGCGTAGGCCGCTACGTCGTTGCAGACAAGGGTGTGACATTCCCCTCAGGAGCCCACGTACCCAAAGGGTACAGGATAGCCGTCCCCGGATACTCAGTCTTTCAAGATCCCGGAATCTACCCCGAGCCAAAGACCTACAGGCCAATGCGCTTCTACAACGCTCGACAAGATGAGAAGGATGGTTATGTGAAGAGCGCGCGCAATGCACTACCGACAGCGACAAAGGACTTTTTGGCTTGGGGTTTGGGAAGGAACGCTTGTCCGGGACGGTTCTTTGCGTCCAATGAGATCAAGATGATGTTGGCTTATATGTTGCTTCATTATGATATTGAGCATTTGGAGGAGAGACCGAGAAATACGTGGATCGTGCAGAACAGGATTCCGCCTATGAAAGCGACGTTGAGAATAAAGAGGGTTTCACGGGTTTAGTTATACATTAGGAGTGACCCAACAGCATAGAGTAACACTTTTTCCAACTTGAAAAACTGGCACCGCCACAAGACTAAGGCTTAGTTAGGCTGGCAGCTCTATGAATTTCGTCCCTTATTCATCTCTTACTCATTTCTTATGATTTAGCAGCTAAATGTTATGATAGTGGCGCATCATTTCAGAGGGACGGAAGGAGTGAGTGTCCATGTTGAAACCTCTTGCTGTCCTTGCTCTTATCTGTTTGTTGGAAACTCCTCTAGCAGGCTGATAGGCAGTTGGCGGTAGCATGGTTCCTTCCTCTCAACATCGGCCACTGCCCACTGTTTCAACCTAATTACGCGTCCTCCACTTCTTCCCCTTCTTCCTCTCCATCACCTCTATATATCTTCAAGATGACCACCACCCCCCTTGACTATCGCTAGCAACGCCACCCCTTGGGGTATTGGATTCGAGATATTGACGAGGGCGAGGACTTCTATCGACGTTGGGCCAGATCCGGAGACGGCTGCTATCCAATCACCGCATCCGCAACGTTCCGAATTCGATCAACGTACATCTCTCAGGACAATGATAGGATGGTTCGTTTCGCTTTCGGCAATGCTTGGAAATCTCTACGATATCAGCACCCGACCCTGGGTTCTTGGTTGTGCGAATATGAATCTCAGGCCATACCCACTTGGAAAAGAAGATACGACCCTTTCTTAACACCTGAGCACGTCAGCGAATGGGTCCAAGAGACTTTTCAAAAGTTCCCTGCCTTCGATGAGACTCCGCATTCGTGGTTCTACGGCCAAACAGAATACGGCCCATCTGCGCCGGGTCCTCACTACATACCGACTCTCATCCTCGTCAAGTCCACGTCCAAGTCCGAGTTGGACTATCACACTATATTCCTTCGATGCCCTCATGACATGATCGACAGTGTTGGGATTTTCATCCTGCTCGAACAGCTCTTTACCAAAGCAGAAGAAATCTACAAGACAGGCCAAGAGTTCAACTACCCTCTTCCTGACGACGACAGCTACCTCTCAAGACGACTGTCGCCCTCCCTCCGTGTGATAGCGAATGTTCCAGAATCGCTATCCCTGAAACATTCGCTATTCGCAGACTTACAAAGCTACTTCAACAAGCATAACGAGTCTTTCGTTGGGGCCCTTACCCTGAATGCGGTCTACGTGGGCGGCGACCACATCAAACGGATCGCAGTTACAGCTGATAAAGGGGTATCTGGCCAGGTCCTCAAAGGAATCTCCAATCAGGCCGGCATCCGAGGTTCTCATCTGTATACAGCAGCCTTGGCAGTAGCCCTTGGCGACAACCAAATCCGGTTCAATGAACGTCGCGTCGCTCACTTCTTTCACCGCCCCATGATCAATCTTCGTTCTAGCTTCCCCCCCGACCGTCCAGCCTCTGATCATCCAGTCGGTTTATACTCTGTCCTTGGAACGGTTCTAAAGCTAAGCCTTAGGGTTCCGGGGCTAAGGGAAAGTCTAAGGAGTTATCTAAACGACGTCATAGCGCTAGCCACCCGTGTCCAACAGCACGAAACAACAACGGAAAAGGAAGTACAACAGTTGAAAGAGAAACTGCTAGGCATAATTCCCGAAGCGATGGTCGCCCCGTGGAACTTTCAGGCTCAGGAGCTTTCACCCGACTTCAATGCATCCCAAGAGACAGAATCTCCGGTCGGACCCGTTTCTTTCTATAATGTTGGTTGTATCGAGTCGAACTTTCGTACGGATAAGGACTTCTTCGACATCCCAACTGTATGGGGCGCGAGTCAGCCTATCAGAGCCGGGATAGATATACATCTCTCGATTTACAAGGGCGAAATTGAACTATCGGCTGTGTACAACACTCGCTTCCATGATGAGGCAATCGTGGAGGCCTTCTTGCAGGGGATTCATAGGCACGTATTCAGAGGGCTACGGTTGGGGGAAGGCCTGGACCTGAGGATAACCAGATAGCTTTAGACCACAATTCTAAGGTATTCTAAGGCTTAGTAGTATTAGGATAAATTGACTCAATTGTTAGCCTAAGATGTCCTAATGTGACCAAATACTTTCGTCTCTTAAGTTCTCGACGGCCAGATCTTGTGCACAAAAGGCAGTCATAGCTTGGGGGAAGGGAACATCGCTAGAGTCGCAGAACTGGGCTTGGGGCCGTGTGCTTGTCGGAGACCGCTAGGAGCTACCATATCGTGGCGATACTCGTCGACTTCCTCAACAATGATCTCTCTCATGGCCTTGATGTGAAGAGAACGCATCTGGATAAACAGAAAGTCGCCGTCGTACCACGAGCTGTCGGTAGTGTACTTGTGGCCGACCAGGTTGGAAAGCGTCTGGGCCTTCCTCGTCCGACAGGTCCAGATAATCTTGTTAAACTCCGTCGT